GCAGCGGGAGAGGCCACAGCAGGGGGAAGCCCTTGTAACGCAAAAAAAAAAAAAAAAATCAGCTGAGGGCAGAGGCCAGGAGCGGCGTCGGGGGTCCCTTGGGTGTGGCCACCCAAGGGAAGCCCACCTGAATCCCGAGGTGCAGGGTTTTTGGGGGTCGGTCTTATCGACATGAGGACCACCATGTGCCCGACCTCGGCCTCCAGCCCCCGGGGGGACTCAGGAAGCCCCACTGTGTATCACGCCGTCAGCACAGACCAGCCTGGAGCAAGGCCCATGGAGCACGGACACACCCGTCAGACTCAAGGTGACCTCTGGAGCCAGGACAGAGGCCCGGCCCCTCTGTGGGCAGGTGAACCTGCACCACACTGGCCCTGGTGCAGTGCCCGTTCCGTGGGGTCAGCATGGGTGCAGGCGTGTCAGCCAGTGTCCCTGTGCCTCAGCCTGTGACCGCTGACCACACTGTCCTGCTCTGCTCACAAGAGCGAGGCCAATGGAGGGACAACGTGGGTGGGAACAAAGCCGGGTCACAGTCAGGTGAGAAAGGGTCCAAGGAGCGAGAACCCGGCTGCCCTTGCCTAGTGAGCTGAGAGCTGACGTCCGCCCTGTAGTCAGTCGGTCGTCTCCCCATATCCTGAGATAGGGCTGCCTTTCCTGCACCCTGGGACAGGGTCATGCCTGTGTATACAGCAGGACACACAGCGGTGCCTGCTGCAAGCCCGATGCCTGCCCTCACCATGTAGTTGGGGCTTGGTGACAGGGGACATCCCGACAGGACATGGGGCCGAGCCCGGGGAGGATGTTGCGGTGAAGCGTTTGGGAGCGTCTGGAGGGAACACTCACCTGTCAGCACAGGGGGACTGAGGACACCGACCAAGGGAGGCAGGCGGGGAGCCCAGGGAGGGTCCTGGGTCATCGCTGAGGCTGGAGAAGGGATGGTAGCTGCGGGTGATGGCGGTTGGGACGAAGAGCTTACCACCCGACAGGAGATGGGCCAGCCGGGGCAGCAGGGGGAGGTGAACACTGTGCCCGACAGAAGGACGGAGAGACCAGCAGGCCCAGCCGTGGGCGTGGGTATCCGGGCTGTTCTTTGTTGGCCCGAACCCCAAGGGTCCCCAGCGGCCCGGGGCCCGGCGCCGCCTCCTGTGCCCCCGGGGCCCGGCTCCGCGCCCGCAGCCCGGCTCCGCCCCCAGCGCTCGGGGCCCGACTCCGCGCCCGGAGCCCGGCTCCGCCCCCAGCGCCCGGGGCCCGGCTCCGCCCCCAGCACCGCTGGAAAACACCCCGTGTCGAGCCAGACCCCAGCCAGGAAGAGAAGACCCGTGTACAGCCTTACGTGATTAATATGCCCAAAAGTGTCCTTTAAAGTCAGCCTCTCCTCTGGCTCTGATTCTACACTGAATGGTGCAGGCAGCCAAGCAGGAGCAGACCAGCATCCCTGGTCAGGAATACCCACAGTGGCCACCCCCAGGAGAGCCTAGAGCTACGGGTACCCACGATGGCCCAAGAGTTGGGGCAGAAGAGTTACCTGCTCGGATGCAAAAGGTCCAGCCAGCAGGGAGTGCTTGCTTTGTGCATGGGATCAGAGGTCGGCTCTGGGCATACCTCAGTCAGGTGTACACCGGGGTGTATGGACAGCAGATGGGAGATGTGAGGGCACCTGGGCTCCCCAGCGAAACCGTCAGGCCAAATTTAGCCCCCAACCAATCTCCCGGGCTAGCCCGCCCACCGCCCTGCCCCCCACCTCCTGCAGAAGGAAGGCAGGCTCAGGGAAGGCTTCCTCTAACAGGGCCCCTTGGCTGGAGACAGGGACCACTCACCTGAGGACCCGTGCATCCTGCAGTAAGGCCAACCCTACCCCCAAACCCACATCCTTACCCCTCCTTCTGTGGGGCATCGTGTGCCTCCCAGTCTTCCCACATGGCATCCGGGGCCTTGTCTCCAAATGCCACCACTGCCTGGAATGAGCCCGTGTCCACGGGAAGGAGAGTCAGAGGGGCATGGCAGGAGTCAAACGGAAACTGGTGGAGAGAGGGAGCAGCAGAGGAGAGAGACAAGAAGAGAGGGAGAGTTAGCAGCAGGCCTGCAGCCGGGCCTGCAGCCGTGAGGACGCCCGCGCCAGGGCCGGGGAGCCTGGCCAATGTGCTGCCTCACCAGCTCACCCACAACGGGCTGTAGTCTCTCGATCATCTAGATCATCGATTTAGAGGGAACTGGCTTTGGGGGAAAGAGAAAATGAGGGGTTTTCTGATGTCAAGCAGAGTTACATGGGAGGCAGTTGACCATGCAGAGCTAGGGTCCAAGACCAAGAAGGAGGTGAAGAAAGAGATTTTGGAGGATTTTCCATGGAGGAAATAGGAGTAAATACATTCTTGAGAAGTCATGGGATTTGAAGGGAATAAGGTATAGACAGAGACAAGAATAAAAGGATAACACTCAAACCTTGGGGGAAGTCTGTATTTAAGAGGTGGTAGGAGAAAGTGAAGGCATAGTAAAAGAAACAAAAAGTAACTAAAGAAGGGAAAGGACCAGAAAATCAGAACCTACAGGAAAGAGAGCATTTCGGGAGCCAAGGCGTGATCAGCTCTATTAAAACACTACAGAAAAACTGGTAAAACAAGTAATGTTAGGATTACCCCCCCCCCCCCCCCCCCCCCCCGGCCAGTCAGCAGGGGCACAGCATCATTTCAGAGGACAGAACAGGATGACAAGACGCATCCAGTATCCCAGGAGAACAGAGATGGGAGGTGTGTGGCCGAACACTCCTCCCACCCAGGCCCACTCTCTGGATCCCTGAGTCTCTTTGGGTGCTCATCTGGGGTCAGCCTTTGCCGCCTGCAGGTCCTGAAGCCCAGCTGAAGGGTGAGCGGGCCATAAAACAAGCAGAACCCCTCTGAACCCCTCTCAGCTCCGTGAGCCCCAGCTCTGAATACAGGGAGAGCTCAGCGCAGTTAGCAAGGTGGCAGGAATACCGTGCCAGGGGTGCTACCCAGTGATTCCGGCTTCCTCATGGGCTTCCACTAGGAAACCGAGGATGCACTGCTCCAAAAGGGCCCAGGATGCAATAAAGTCACTTGAGAATTCATCAAGGCTTCTAAAACCATATATTTGAGAAGTTCACTTGAGACACTAAATTATGTGCTGACAGAAAAACATTTGAGGGATTAATATAATGAAATGGAAACATGCAGACCAGTGTCACTTCCGTGTGAAAGATGGGGAGGAAGGACCCCCTCTCCCCAACAAAGTCCGGAGGCCTCAGAACTCCCAACACCCCCACCCCCTCAACACACACTATTTGGGGCCTCTCTTCTCCTTGAAGAGCTCCCGATAGCAGCTGACCACGTTGTTCACGCCCTGGCAGACGCGGAGGCTGCGCTCCAGGTTGGGATCGTTGTCCCTGACGATCTGCAGGCCAGCATCGAAATGTGCTAGGGCCTTGGCCAGGTGCCTGGCCGTGAGCTGGCGGGAAGCCGTCGAGCTGTCCTCACCCTCCTCCCCGGCTGCCAGCTCCTGCTCCAGCCCCACCAGCTCCTCGTTGGACAGGTCTGCGCCCTGGCTCTGCAGCAGCTCAGCCACATCCGCCTCTGCCACCTCCCCGAAACCCAAGCCGTGCGCCAGCGCCACGACGTCGCGCCTGATCTGCGGGAGGGCCTCCCCGGGTCGGGGGCTGGCGTCGTGCTGGAGGCACTCGGGCCACAGCTTCCTCCAACCCCCCGGTTCAACGTCGCGGGCGGAACCTCCTCCCAGGACTCGAAGATGTTGTGCACAGCGTCCAGGACGCTATAGTCCCGCCAGAATTCCGAGGCCGCAGGCCGCTCGCCGGCGCCTCCCGCCCTCGCCGTCAAGAGGCGGAAGACCCTCCGCAGGTAGCAGGCCTTGAACGTGGCGACCACGTCCTGGGTCATGGGCTGGATGAGGGCCGTGGTGTCCTTGGGCAGGTACTCCGCGCGCACGCGGTCGGAGAGCTCGTCCAGGTTCCCTGGGCGGCCGGGGGTGCTGTCCAGGACGAGCAGAGCTTTACACGGGAGCCCGTGCCGGGCGCAGTACCTCTCCACAGCGGGGCAGAAGAGGTGAACGAGCCACTCCTGGAAGAGGCTCACAGTGACCCAGGCCTTCCTGTGCGAGCGCCACGGCACGGGCAGGCTGGGCTTGCAGAAGCCCCGGAGGGCGCGCGGGTTCTCCGAGGGGTACACCAGCAGCGGCTACAGCTTGAAGTCACCGGCGGCGTTGCTGCCGAGCAGCAGGGTCAGGAGATCTTGGGCGGCTGTGAACCCGGGGCCTGGCTTCTCCGCCGTGGAAGGGCCCGTCCTGCCCGGCAGCCGCCTCCAGAAGAGCCGGGTCTCGTCCACGTTGAACACCTGCCGGGCCGTGTAGCCGCCCTCCGGATCACCCTCCGCAGCAGCGCCGGATACCTGCGCGCAGCCTCTGCGTCTGCGCGCGCCGCCTCGCCTCCGGCCCCGAGGCTGCGCAGCCCGTGCCGCGCCTTGGAGCGCGCGAACCAGCCGCGGCTGGCGCCGAAGGTCTCAGCCTCGGAGCCCTCACCCTGCGCCCGCTTGAGCTCCTCAAACAGGCTGCGGGCCTTCTCCTGGACGAGCACCACGCTGACCGGCACGTCACGCCGGTTCTGGTCCTCGATCCACACGCTCAGCAGCCGCTCCATGTTCTCCATCACCAGGCTGCGGCTGCGCGTCAGCTTAAGAGGCCGCGCGCGGGGTGGCCGCCTGGGAACTCGCTTGGATCTTGTCCTTGTTGTCACGAATGGTGGCCACAGTGGAGGTGGAGAGACCTAGTGCCCTCCCGATTCGGCTGAGCTTCTCTCCGGCTTCAGAGCGCCGCAGTACCTCCAGCTTCACCTGCAGGTTGATGGCCTTACGGTCCCGCTTGGCACTTCGGCGCTGACCCGCCCTCGGCGGCCTCTTCAGGGGGGTGCTTCGGGCCTGCATCACTCTCTCCGGACACCACAAGAGAATATTTATGTTCCCGCCCTGTGCCCGCTGATTTCAGGGCCGCTGCCGCCCCAGCCCTGACCCGCTGTAAAATGGGGAGACAACGTTTACCGGTGGGAAGTGCCAACGGGCCTGGGTAAAACCCTTAGAGGACACTGACTAGTGTCTCTCTTTAGGTGGGAGATTCGGGGCCACATCCGGCCACTCGATGAATTCTGGCCCCGCGGACTAAATAAACTTCACCCCCAGGATCGCAGCAAGCCTCTGAAAACCCTCTACCACTTTCCGAGGAAGCCCCCCGCTGACACCACCATCCCCAGTCAGCTACTCGCCGGCCTCCTGAAGCATCCAGGGTGGCGTAATACACCACAAACTGATGTCAGACCAAATATAGAACCCAGAAATTACCAGCACGTCACAGCCGGGCCCAGGAACGGGCAGCCACAGTGTATAAACCTCAGCTCAGGGCTTGGTGGCAACCGGGGAAAGCAGACGAACAAGCTGTCCAGCTGGAGCCAACACACTTCATAGCCCCGAGCTCGCAAGACCTTGAGCAATGTAATTAATTAAGGGTGTCAGGACTCAAGGTTTTTGTTTGTATGTTGTTTTGATTTTTTGGTTTGTTTGGCCAAGCCGCACGGCACGGGGGATCTTAGTTCTCCAACCAGGGATCGGACCCGTGCCCCCTGCCGTGGAAGAGTGGAGTCCTAACCACTGGACCACCAGGGGAGCCCCTGTTTTTGGGTATTTTTAATGGAGGAAATACTTGTGCAGGGTTCAATTACCCAGACGGGCTCCTGGAGAACCAGGCGAGGGGCAGGCCTGCCTCCAGCCTCGGGGCCCCGAGGTGGCCAAGGAGACCCACTTCCCAGTGTCCTTCCACAGGGGGGTGGGCCGAGCACCTTGTTTCTTCCAGGAGCAGCATCTCTGAGCCCAGCTCTACACTCTCGACTGGTGATGGGAGTTTGACAGTAAAGCAGCCCTGGGTGTTCTCTGAGAGTTGCCGGCAGGACACCGGCTGAGCCGGACTTGGGCAGATCTAGGCAGGGCCACTGCAGGCGTTCCCAGGCCTCGCAGTGTCTCAGGAAGACCAGGAATGGCAGTCAAGGGTGGGGAAGGCCAGGGTGTGGTCCACTCTCCCCCCTCACCTGGCAGGAGACCCCAGCCATGCTCCTTGGCTGGTCTGCCCTCCTTCCCATGTGTGAGCAAGTCCCTCTGTCCTCCTGGGGAAGCCCCCTGGGTTACCCACCAGGATCAAAGACATGCAGGCGCCCCGTGACACAGAGATAAGCTTTGGTCCCTGGATCTTGAGGCCATCCAGAGGATAGGCAGGCCCAGGGGCAGAAGAGCCAGAGGGGCAGCAGCCAAGATGAGGGTGTGTGCTCTGGGATGAGAAACCAACAGCGGCCCACAGTCCCTAGCGGGGCTGGGCACATGACTCCAAGAGAGCCACTAAAAAGAAAGGCTGGAACTGCCTGTGCCACTGGAAGGGACCTCAACACAAGACGAAGTGAAATCAGTGAGGTGCAGAGCGTTAATGGGGCTTCCTTTGGAAATGTCTGTGTGCCCCGTTCATACACACGGCCATGTGTGTGAACGGCACGCGTGTACAGGAAAGAGGAAGGATGTACGATGGGTGGCAGTGGCCATCTCCAGAGAGGAAGACTGGCTGTGGGGTTTCAACTTTATGTGCTTTTCTTAAGGTTTGAATTCCTTTATAATGCTTATACATGTTTTACATACATTTTAAAATTTTCTTTAAAATGGGAGGATAAATAACGACTGCTGCATTTCTATCTCTGTGCAAGAGAGACTACAACTACAGTAAGTCCCCTACGTATGAACGAGTTCCGTTCCGAGAGCACGTTTGTAAGTCCAATGTGTTCGTAAGTCCAACGACGTTAGCTTAGGTATCCAACTTACACAATCGGCTATACAGTACTGTACTGGAATAGGTTTATAATACTTTTCACACGAATAATACATAAATAACAAACAAACACAAAAAATAAAGAAAACATTTTTAATCTTACAGTACAGTACCTTGAAAAGTACCGTAGTACAGTACAGCAGCTGGCATCCAGGGCTGGCATCGAGGGAACAGGCAGGAAGAGTTACTGACTGGAGGAGGAAGAGGACGTGGGAGACGGTAGGGCCGAAGGATCGTCAGCCGTAGGAGACGGAGGGCAAGCTGCCATTTCACTCACGCCTGACGTGGATGGCACAGGTTCTGGTTCCTTGCTGGATTTAATTCTATCCACCCTCTTGTAAAAACGATCCAGTGATGTCTGGGTGGTAGCTCTTTTTTTCTCGTCGTAGATGACACGGTAGCACTGGATTGCATTCTGAACGGCCGCTGCGACCTTCGTGTACCGTTCTACGTTCGGGTCCTGTGCCTCAAACACTAGCAGCGCCTCCTCAAATAAAGAAAGCCCCCGTGCCATTTCCTGCGTCGTGAATCTCTTCGGCTCTTCAGTTGCTTCCTGCTCCTGCTGCCCCTCTTCGTCCTTCCTCTGGGCCTCCAGCTCCATCAGGTCGTCATCAGTGAGCTCCTCGTGCTGCACAGCAAGGAGTTCGATGAAGTCGTCCTCTTGCAGATCTAGCTCCAGCTTCTCGCTGAGGGTCACTAAGTTGCTGAAGACCTCTTTGGACTCCTCGTCCACCTTCTCAAATCCACGAAAATCGTGAACAAACTTCGGGCAAAGGTTCTTCCAAACCCCATTCATGGTGACGGCCGTAACCTCACTCCAGGCAAAGTCAATGTTTTTTATGGCCTTGTAGATGTTATAGTCCTTCCAAAATTGTCGCAAGGTTGTTCCTGATTCGTCACTCGCCTTTACTGCCTGACGAAAAGTGTGACGTAAGTAATATTTCTTGAAAGTCGCTATGACTCCCTGGTCCATAGGTTGGATGAGCGCCGTGGTATTCAGTGGCAGATGCACTACTTTGACGTTGGGATGAAAGTCGTCCATGAACGGGGGGTGGCCCGGAGCCCTGTCGAGCAGCAGAAGAACGTTGAAAGGGACGTCCTTCTCCAAGCAGTATTTCTCCACCTCCGGGATAAAGTGGTGGAAAAACCAGTCCTGGAAAATGGCCTGTGTCACCCAGGCTTTGGGGTTACTCTTCCACACAACAGGAAGAGAGCCCTTGGCTATGTTTTTAAGGGCTCTTGGGTTCTCTGAATGATAAACTAAGAGAGGCTTCAGCTTCATATCACCAGAAGCATTGCCACCAAACAACAGCGTGAGCCTATCCTTTGATGCTTTATAGCCCGGCATCAACTTTTCCTCCTTACTGATGTAACTTCGGTCCGGCATCCTCTTCCAGTACAGTCCTGTCTCGTCCACATTAAACACCTGCTCGGGTAAATACGCGCCTTCATCAATAATTTCTCGAAGCGTTTCAGGAAATTCCCGGGCAGCTATTGTATCTGTACTCGCCGCCTTGTCACTTACTTTTACATTGTGAAGTTTGGCTCTAGCCTTGAACCGGTGAACCCAGCTACGGCTGGCATTAAAAGATTTGCCCTCTGATTCTTCACCGTGTTTCTTCTTCAAGTCTTCATAAAGGCTCTTAGCTTTCTCTTGAATCAGCATTAAGCTGAGTGGGACTCGACGCTGACGCTGATCCTGCATCCACACACTGAGAAGTTTCTCCATCTCCTCCATCACTTTTCCACGCTTCTTTGTTATTATTGTCGACGTCATCGGCATAGCAGACTTCACGTGTTCCATGATCTTGTCCTTGTTCTTTACGATCGAGCCAATGGTTGAACGATTCAGGTTATAAGAATGAGCGACGTCTACCATCTTTTCGCCTCGCTCCACTCTCTCAATTATTTTCACTTTTGTTTCCATCGTTATCGCGTGGCGCTTCTTAGCAGTACCAGCTACATCACCGCTGCTTTTACGCTTGCTTCCGGACATCCTGGGCTTGAAATAAAGATACTGTACTACTGTACTCTATACAGTACTGTAAAGTACACAAAAGCACAACCACTTGGAGAGGATGCACGCACATGACAATGTACGCCAGACACGTGAACTAACTTACGTGATTGGACGTGCGAACGCATGTTCGCATCTTTGAAAGTTCGTAACTTGGAGGTTTTTGTGTAGGGGACTTACTGTACTCTGTATTCAAATGGTGTGAGCCTGGGGAGGCCCCATCCTCAAACCCAGGAGCTGGGAGAGGGTGAAGGGCAGGTCCTGAGCCCAGCCTGAGGGCGAGGGGTGGTGGGAGTGGGGGCTGGGCACAGCTGCTGAATGTGACCCTCCATGGCCTGGGGTGAAGTGGGGGGGAGGTGGGCGGGGTCCCGCAGGATGTGGCATCTCTGACTTTGGAGGACTCACAGCTCACCTGAGCTCCATCCGCGAAGGGCTTGGCCGGCTCTGCCAGGTCTCCAAACCGTTGGTCCTCGGGAGGGGCCTGGGCCAGGGCTGAGAGAAAGAGCAGTGTTAGTGTCTGCAGGCCCACCCTGGGGACAAAGCGGTGAGGAACCCAGGCCCATTCATCAATCTGGAGGTCAACATGTCCTACTGGCCAGGAACTCTGAGCCAGATGAGACACCGCTTGCCCTCTGATTCACAGAGAACACCCTACCCTGGCTGACAGGCAGCCCCTTCCGATGCACACACACATACGTACCTCAAGAACACACCCAAGGCCCCTGAAACCCAAGTCACTGAAACACCAAGGAAATAGTCATTAGAAGCTTCCTTCAGCTGTAGCTGGGTGGTCAGTAAAGGGCTGACTCAGCAGGCCTGAGCTGTCCAAACCCTCCACACTCCAAACGAAAGTCTGGCCCTTGACCTGCTCCTGGGAGGAGACCTCTAAGCCCTTGGAAGATTCTGCCTGATAAGAACATCTTTGTTTACCTAAGTTCTTGGGTCACACAGATAGTTCATGCTAACAATGTGACATGGTAGTAACCCTGGGCCACACTGTACAGGTCTGACCTCTGGGGGGGGAGGGGTTCAGGCTGAGTAACTAAGGTCAGTCATGTTCCATAACTCGGTGACTGACCCCCAGTAAACATCCTGGACGTCACTGCAGGTAAGCCCCCCAGTGGCAGCATCCTGTGCGTGTCGTCGCACTTCACTGCTGGGGGAATTAAGCACGACCCACATGACTCCCACAGGAAAGGACACCCAGAATCTCGTGCCTGGTATCTCCCAGACTAGGCACCTTTTTCCACCGCTGACTTTAATCTGTATCCTTTCACTGTAATAAACTACAACCACGAATACAATAGCCTTGTTGAATTCTGTGACTCCTTCTAGCAAATCACTTGAGGCTAAGGGGGTTCTTGGGGACCTCCAAACACACAGCAACAGTGACAGCCAAGGAAGAGTTTGGGACATCATTCTGGTCTCCCTGATAGCATCAGAGCAGTCATCTCCAAAACAACCCAGAGAAAGCCAGGGCCAGGCCCTACCCTCTCCCACGTGGGGGCATCGAAGGGGCCAGCAACAGGCTGAGAGCAGGTAAGGGTACGGAGCAAAGGCAGGAGTTTTCGTGTAAACGTGAGACCATGCGGCTTCAGGGCTGAGTGGACGTAACCATGCATGCCCCAGAGGATCCACGGGAGCACCAGGCCTAAGTCCGTTCAGTGCCAGCAGGCTGCTTTGCCAACACCCGCACTCTTACGATGCAAAATCTCTTTTAATAGTGTGCATCACCTAAGCATCCGTTCAGTGGGAAGCTGGGAACTGGTACCAGGGAACAGTCCCCTAAGACGACAAACGCTGCCCATGGCTCAGAGGACAGCCCAGCACGACAGCCAGACACCCTCGGAGGACTGTGGACCCATGCGTACAAGGTGTCTCACCTGCACCTCACGTTCATGCCTGGGTGAAAACCAGTCGTGCGTTATCAAGGTTTTCTTTAGCAGCAGTTAGATCCAGTTTGCAGCTTTTCCAACATGTGCAGAACCAGGTGCATCCTGTCCCCCTGGGAGACCCCAGCACCATCCAGCAGCAGCCCTACCCCCCAGCCCCTCCTTTGAGTCTCTAACTGTCATAATTCCGACCTCTTCCCGGAGCAGACACAGTTCCCTGCAGTTCCTACCACCATGACACCTTAGAGTTCTTTTTGTACTTTTTCATTCCTTCAATGCCTAGGTTACACTCTCTACATTAAATCCCCTCTCTTAAAACAAGCGGTGTGTTAGCAGTTCCTCAAAAGGCCAGAGTTACCATGTGATCCAGCAATTCCACTCCTAGGTATATAACCAAGAGAATAAAGTATACGTTAAGTTCACGTCAGCATTAATCGTAACAGCCAAAAGGTACAAACAACCCAAATATCCATAACAGATAAATGAATAAACAGAATGTGGTATAACCACACAATGGAATATGACTGGGCATAAAAATGAGCGAGGTCCTACACTGCGGATGAACCCTGAAAACGTTATACTCAATAAAAGAAGCCCATCGTAAAAAGCCATGTATGATTCCAGCAAATGTATGATACCATTTAATAAAACGTCCAGAATAAGAAAGTGTACAGAGACACAAAGCAGGTTCCTGGCTGCCAAGGCACTAGGAAAGGGAAGAATGGGGAGTGGCTGCTGACGGGCACGGAGTTTATTTGAAGGTGATGACATTAGACATGGGTGATGGTTGTACAAACCTGTGACTATACTAAAACCCACAAAGTGTACAATTTTTTGATTATGTGGGTTAGAGCCTAATAAAGCTGGGTTTTTGTTTGCTTGCTTAAGTGCTATGGTTTCCACTCCTCGATATAAGGGGCCAAGCAGGCAAAAGGAACTGCACAAATACACATGAGTAAATAAGTAAATACATGCCAGGGTGGACCGAGGCGGTAACCAACCATCTCTCCTCCCTGCTGCACGGCTGTCACCTCCTCACAGGTGCGGAAGCACACATCCAAGGTGAAGACGTCACACAGCACGAACTGCAAAGCCACCCCTGGCCGGGCCGACCTCTGTGCCCACCTCCTCTTGCCTCCACCCCCTCTAGAGAAAGAAAGACACCCTACTTGTGATTGGAGGTCTCACTGTCCAACTCTCAAACCAGACTGGACTCCAACAGGCCAAGGACCTTGCCTCTCTCCCTTCCCTGGACCCACAGGGCCTGGCACATGGCATGCACTCCGTGACTTTGCCAGGAAGGAGAAAAGGAAGAGAAAGAAGGCCAGTGCACCTGAGCAGGGGAAATGCTACGCCAAACCCAGGCTCACACCTCTGGGAGGCTCAGAGTCTAGAAAAGTCTCCAAACGTGTCACAGCTTCTGAGTCTTCTTCCCAGAGATGAGGACACAGGGCCTGGGCAGAGCGGGCAGGCACTCAGGACCCGGCGTCATGAGTTGTGTCCCCCTGCACTTTCCCTGCCCCCAAGCCCAGTCCCCCGTGGCTCACCAGTCTCCTGCAACATCTGAGCGAGGTCCTCCACGAGTGCCACAGCCTCCTCGCCACTCTCGGGGCACTGGGACTCCACCCAGACCCGGGTGTCAGGTGGCAGCACGCCCAGGAACTGCTCCAGCACCAGCAGCTCCAGCATCTGCTCCTTGGAGTGCACCTCGGGCCGCAGCCACTGGCGGCACAGCTCCCGGAGCCGGGCCAGCGCCTCGCGGGGCCCTGCTGCCTCCTCATAGCGGAAGCTCCGGAAGCACTGCCGGGGGTCCCTACCAAGCCCAGGCAACAGGGTTTGGGGCTGAGGCTTGAAGAACGGTTCAGGATCCCACAGGGCGGCCTCATCCTCCTCCATCTTGATGATCACGAGCTCTTCCTGACCGATGGGTGCTGGGTCGGCTGCCATGGCGAAACCTGGGGAAGCTGGCCTCTCTGCCTTCACTCAGGCCACACACACCGTCTTCCTGGGACACACACCCACCCAATCAGGGCCATGGACCACCCACACCCCTCCACCGACTCACAGCCTGCAAGGTCACTTGCTGTGGCGGAAACTGTCCCCACACCTGGCCAGCTGACAACCTGGCAGGGGGACACCTCCAGCCTCGACCTCCCTATCTGTGCCCTCAAGAGGATGCCTCACACTGGGAATCTGGTTAGGACAGTGATGGAGCGCTTCCTGCAGGGAAGCTTTCAGGAGTTCAGGCCAGACTGGGCCAGTAGGAGGGCTGCTCCTGGGGATGGGGCGTGGACGTGTCCAGTGTCTCTCAGTGGTAGAGAGAACCCCACCAGCAGCCAAGCAGAGGTGCTGGCGGGAACTAGCAGAGACTCAGTGCCCAGGGAGGGTCCAATCCCAGGGAAGCTCTGTGCAAGTGAAGGATGCAGTCTGTGGGGCACTAGAAAGAGTGATGTGGGGGACAGGCTGGAAGGCCAAGATGGTAGTGGGGACGGCTGCAGTGCAGCCGCACAGGGAGAGCAAGAGCTGGTTCCTACACTGGAAGGACTTCCTTCCCTCACGGAACAATCCTATGGGGCCCGAGAGGCTCGGCCCAACTCAACTAGTCAAGGTGAACAATGGACAGTGAGAGAGACATCCACGCTACAGTGCTAAACAAGAAAAGTAAGCTGTGGTTCTCCTCACCTGACATGATCCCACTAATGTTAAAATTTCAGAACAAAAAAAACAGGAGCTACTGCTGCAAGTGTTAAGAAAAGGATCCTGAAAACCAGCAACGCCTCAGCTGGCAATTCTGGAGAAAGGAACTGGAGGAGGACATCTGCTTTTTCTTTTGTAATGTCTGCAGAGCACCTGAATTTTTCTGCCAACGGCCATTTGCTACCACTGTAACTTCAGAAAAGAACACAGATTGTGACTTCTTCCCTGATGGTCCAGTGGTTAAGAATCTGCCTTCCAATGCAAGGGGTGTGGGTTCAACGCCCCGTCCGGGAACTAAGAACCCACATGCCGCGGGACAATTAAGCCTGCGCGCCACAACTACTGAGCATGCGAGCCGCAACTAGAGAGAAGCCCGCGCGCAACTAGAGAGAAGCCCACGCGCCGCAATGAAGATCCCACGTGCCGCAACTGAGACCCGACACAGCCAAAAAGAAAAATAATAAATACTTAAGAAAAAAGAACACAGATCATTTTCAATGCCAATGCACGTCTTTAAAGCATTGGTCAGGGCTTCCCTGAACCAGGCCGCCCCATCCAACAGCCCCCAACCCCCGGCTCTCACCCACAAGTACCCTGAGATGACAGCTAGAGTGGAGGACGGTCTGCGCAGCGGAATCAGCAAATGCGAAGGCTGTGTGGCCTCGGCGAACTTGCACAGCCTTCGGCCAGGGAAGGATCTGGATTTAATGCCCCTGTGCGGGGAGCGTCCCCCCACCCCGCCCGCACTCTCACTTTATAGAGGGACGCACGCAGGTGTAGCAGGAGCAAAGAGGTGGTCTGAGCTGCAGAAATCCAGGAAGACTTTCCAGGGGAGGTGAGTTTAGGGGGAGCTGGGTGGAAAGGTGGACAGAAGCCCAGGAATTCCGCCGAGAAAGGAACTAGCGCGGGTGCACGTGCACGACCCCCGAGGCGTGGCGAGAGCCCAGCTCGGCCCAGAATCACTTCCGGTGCAGGCCCAGCCCCGCCGGACTCCATGTCCCAGCAGCCCACGCGCCGCCCTTCCCCGTGGACTCGCCGGAGTCCTCGGAAAGCAGCTGGTGTTCCCCCGCCCCCCTTCTCCTGCCGCCCTCTGGCCAGCTGCACACCCTACCCCGGGCTTTTCCGACGCCTCCACCGCGTCGCGCCCAGACTCACCGCCCCAGGAAGCCACGCGGACGGCGTCAAACAACACCGTGCTGGAACAAAGACCAACCACCCTGGGGCCCCAGGACCACGAGCTTCCGTCCGTCCCAAGGACTACTTCCGGTGCCTTGTGCCCACCCCGCCCCTCCCCTCCCTTCCCTAGCAACCACCCACCTCCCCACCACAGGCCAGCGCACGGAGGTGAGGGGGAGGTAACGGTATACTTCTGCAATTCTTTGGCGACGTCCGGCGCCCGGAAGTGGAACGTGCGCAAGCCCGGCCCTGTCCGCGAGGCCCTCTGGGAAATGTAGTCCTTGGCCCTCCACAGTAACAGCCCGGGTGACCTATAGACACTACATTTCCCAGAAGGCAGCGAGCACCAGCGCTCGGCGCCGCCGGGAAATGGAGTTCTTCAGGGGCCTGCAAGAGGGCGCCAGTGGTGCGACTCCCGACGCTCCGCGGCGCCTTCCCTGTGGTCCTGGCGGTGTCCCGGGTTCCGAGGTAAAGAATTATGGAGCCAGACGGGCCCGTCCGCGCGTTGTCTCCGCCACGCCCTGCCCGCGCGACCTCAGATCCCCTCGCTATCCGTCCGCTCGACTGTGCCAGGTTGCCCCTCAGCTGCCTCTCTACTCCCGCCCGGCGGATGTGGCATTTCCTCCCACCTGGTCACCTGCCTCTTTCAGCTGCTGTGCTGCACTCCGCCTCCATCGGGGCTGCTCCTGCCTCCCCGTCCTCGGCTTCACCAGCCACACCGTGCTGGGCCGCCTAAAACAGGCCCCTCTGTGGTGCCTGGCATTTTGAAATGACCGGTTTCCAAAAGCTGGGGCAGCACCTCCCCAGAAAGCCTTCCCTATCATGTCCTCTCCTCTGACCCCAGCTAGGTTTAGGTCCCTCACAAGTCGCCCGTCATAGCCGTCGTCACACAGAATGTAACAGCCTTTGGACCGGCAGCTCCTGAAGCCAGTCTCTCCCACCCTGGTCTCCCCAACACCTAGCACATTACAAGTGCTCATAATTTGTGCAGTTTATTAATCCAGTCAGCCACCAGGCTCCTAAGAAAAGCTCTTCCACTTCTCCTTGCCATCCCTTTTGCCACTCTCCCCAAGAAAGCAAACAAGGGGCCTCATCTGACCTTTCTCCCAGGAAGGCTGGACCCTGGAACCACTCCCTGGCCTCCGGCCCCTTTTACGTATTGACAGCAGGCCCAGCACTGCAAGTGTTAGCTGGGACAGAGGTAGAAGGAATCCTTTCTCCCAACTTTACTCTTGGCATGCGTGTGTGTGTCGCGCGCACACGTTCACGGACACATGCAGGTACCTGTGTCAAAAGGAGTCCAGGAGGCCAGGCAGCCCTGTCTCACCGCCTGTGGCTCACCTAGCTGGAGTACAAGAACTCCTTCCCTTGATGACTCTCTGGGTTTGGGTGGCCCATATGGTATGTCTACAGAGTCAAGTGGATACCCCAGTGTGCTTGCTGTTACAATCTAGGGGGACAGGAGAACAAGCTGGAATGATGGGAGATAACAAGACCGTCCAAGGAGCCAATCCATTGGAATTGGAGCCATGTTTCTAACCTTGGGGAGAGGCTGGGCTGCAGCCAATGTGCTGGGAGCTGACCCTGAGGTAGCCACTGAGCCCTCAAAAATGGCTGAGATTTTCCAAAGAGCTCTAGATCTGGGAGACCATCAAAGTGTCAGAAGGCTCAGCCTCAGAGGCTGGAGGGAAGCCAAGACAACCACGGCACAGAAACCCAGGGAAGAAAACATCTCCAAACCAAGGAAAGCCACACACGCCCATAGGCTTGGGCACAGGGAAGGTACCAGAAACCTCAGACAGCACAAGCCGTGGAAGCCAGAAAGAGTGAGGATGGCACGGAAGGTGAGCAAGGAGATCAGGAAACCCCCACCTAGAGTTGGCCAGGAAGAGTAACAACGGTGCACGGACAGGTCAGGGTTGGCAAATAGGAGAGGCTCGTCTCAACCCTGGCCCCTCACCACAAGGAAGGCTACCCTGGTGGGCTGTGCTTGGCAACTGCTGTTCTACAGGGTGTGTCTCTGACACGGATGGGCACTCCTGGGTCCCACAGCTCATCTGCCAATCAGAGAACACCACCCTCTTGTTCCCCAAGCCTGACGCTCTGTGTGCCACTGTACAAAGATGGCAGTGCATGAGGTATGAGAACCATGGGTGAGAAGTGGCAGTGTCTACCCTCCAGACACAAAACATCATCAGACAAAGCTCATCTGAGGTCAGGCCCAAGCCCTAAATCACACAGGACAGCCAAAGAGGTCTGTCCTTCAGGGTTTGTGCCCTTGGCCACTTGCCCACCCTCTGTGGGCCCCACCTGGGGTGACTGCAGGCTTTCTGCCAACTCCTTTGTTGCCACCATCATGGGGCCCCTTGAGGCCCCGCAACTGCCCGAGCCTGTCGCCTCCTTTCCCGCTGCAGCTCTTGGAGGTGGGCGAGGGCACAGTGGACACCCCGGGACACCCGCAGGCTGCGTTCCCGGTTGGGATCGTTCTCTAGGAGGACTCGCAGGCCAGCAGCAAAGTGGGACAGCGCCTGGGCCAGGTGCTCAGGGCGCAGTGCACCCACACTTACTTCCTCAGTCTCCACATCCACCATGGCCTCCATGAGATCTGACTCTGGTCTTCTGGAGGCCAGGCCTTTCCCCGCCTCACAGGGCAGCCCAGAGTCACTGACATCCCCAACCTCCACCTCCTGGGGGATGCTGCGGGGCGAGGGCTCCCCATGGGCCTGCAACAGGTGGGCAACATCGGCCTCAGCCACATCCGCAAGACCTGCGTGGCTGGCTAGTGTCACAATGCTGTGACGGAGCTGGGGGACGGCGTTGGGCTCGGGGGCACCAGCGGGCACACACTCGGGCCACAGCTTCCTCCAGGCACTGTTCATGGTGGCAGGCTGCAGCTCTGCCCAGGCCTTAGCAATGTTGTCTACAGCGGTCATGACAGTATAGCTGCGCCAGAACTCCCGCACGGAGGGCCGGTCTGTACCCGCCGTCTCCTGGACCAGCTGGCTGAGCGTGCGGCGCAGATAATGGGCCTTGAAGGCGGCAATGACACCCTGGTTCATGGGCTGGATCAGGGCTGACGTGTTCTTGGGCAGGAACTCAACACGCACATGGGCTGAGAGGCCACCCAAGTGGACAGGGTGGCAGGGTGCGCTGTCCAGCAGCAGCAGGGCGCGGTGTGGGAGGCCATGGCTGGCACAGTAGCTTTCCACAGCTGGGCAGAAGCAGCCAGTAAACCACTCCTGGAAGATGCTAGGTGTCAACCAATCATTGCGGTTGGAGCGCCAGACCACAGGCAGGCTGGCCTTGGAGCAGCCCCTGAGGGCACGTGGGTTCTCCGAGGGGTACACCAGCAGCGGCTTCAGCTTGAAGTCACCAGCCGCATTGCCACCAAGCAGCAGCGTCAGGTGGTCCTTAGAGGCCTTGGGCCCAGGCCCAGCTGTCCCCTCCAGTGCCAGAAGCATGCGCTCAGGCAGCCGCTTCCAGAACAGGCCCGTCTCGTCCACGTTGAAGACCTGCCGTGGTGAGTAGCAGCCCTCCTCCAGAATGGTGCGCAGCACCACGGGGTAGCGTGCAGCAGCCTGGGCGTCGGCCACAGCCGGCTCATCCGTCAACAGCACATTGTGGCGCACCTTGAAACGGGCAAACCAGCCATTGCTGGCCCCGAACGTCTCGGCCTGGGCGCCGCTGCCCTGCTCGTGCTGCAGCTGCGCAAAGAGCCGGCGCGCCTTGTCCTGGATAAGCAGCGTGCTGACAGGCAGGTTCTGCCGCTTCTGCTCCTCAATCCACAGGCTCAGGAGGCGCTCCATGTGGCCCATCAACACGCCCCGGCAGCGGGTCAGCTGCGTGGTGCTGACGGGCGTGGCTGCCTGGGAATTGGCCCGGATCTTATCCTTGTTCACGCGGATCGAGGCAACCGTGGAGGTGGCCAGTCCCAGGGCCCGGGCGATCTGCGTCAGCTTCTCACCCTCCTCAAACCTCCGAAGCACCTCCAACTTCACATGCAGGGTGATGGACTTCCGGTCCCGCTTGGCACTGTGGCGGAGGCCAATCCCAAGGGGCGCCTTCCCCAGCACCTGCGGGTGGGGGGTTGTCTTCATGCCGCTTCCCCGAGCCATGCACCTCAACAAGCTCTCTCCCCACTGCCGTGCCCACAGTGGCCTCTGGGCCTCTCCTGCCACGCCCACCTCTGCCTGAAGAGGAGAACACATGGGCATTAATGTGTGAGTACATGAGAGTCTGGACCACTGCCTGGCCTTCCCATGCTCTGACCTAAGGCCCCCAGCCCCGCTGAGCACTGCCTCCGAGGCAGGCCCAGTCCCTTCCATCCCTGGCGCTAAAGACACTGCGTACACACTTCCGAGCACGCTTTGCGTGTAAGGGAGCATTTCATTCAGTTTTAGCTTTTATGAGACCAAACAAAGTGCTGTGGGGAGACTTTGTTCTTCCCCCAGAAAACCTCTTGCAACCACAAGCAGATGCAAAGAGAGTCTAGAAATCCTGACCCATCTCTCGGACACTGATGAGCAGAAGCATCTCCATGCTATTCAGAGACACGGAACATCAGTGTGGGAGACTGAATAATGGCTCCTAACCACACCCACATCCACATCCCAATCCCAGGAACCTATGAGTAAGTTTACCTTTCAGGGCAAAAGGGACACTGCAGGTGTGATTAAGTTAATAACCTTGAGAGGCAGAGACTATCCTGGATTATCCCAGTGGGCCCTAAATGTAATCAGAGGGATCCTTGTAAGAGGACACAGAAGATTTCACTCAGTCAGAAGGCAATGTGACCACTGAAGCCTAGAGCTTCCAGAAGGAACCAGCCCTGCCAATACCTTGATTTTAGCCCAGGAGCCCCATTTCAGATTTCGGACCTCCAAGACTCTAAGATAATAAATTTGTGTTGTTTTAAACCACTAAGTCGGGACTTCCCTGGTGGCGCAGTGGTTGAGAATCCGCCTGCCAACGCAGGGGACACTGGTTCGAGCCCTGTTCCGGGAAGATCCCACATGCTGCGGAGCAACTAAGCCCATGCGCCACAACTACTGAGCCTGAGCTCTAGAGCCCGCGCGCCTAGAGCCCGTGCTATGCAACAAGAGAAGCCACCACAATGAGAAGTCCGCACACCGAAACAAAGGGCAGCCCCCGCTTGCCACAACAAGAGAAAGCCCGCACGCAGCAACGCAGACCCAACGCAGCCAAAAATAAACTAATTAATTAATTAATTTAAAAATAAATAAACCACTAAAGTCTGTAGTAATATGCTAAAGCAATCACAGGAAACTAACACAGAAGGTAACCTCCTTAATTCTTGCCACCACCGTGGAGTACCTGGGGGTAGAGGAGGAAGGTGGTTCTCCACACAGCAGTCGGAATGATTCTTTAAGAACCAGAACCACAATGAGGGGAATTCCCTGGCGGTCCAGCGGTTAGGACTCCGGGCTTCCACTGCAGGGGGCACAGGTTCAATCCCTGGTCAGGGAACTAAGATCCCAGCAAGCCGCACGGCACGGCAAAGAAAAAAAAGCAAACAAACAAAACAGTGGCTCCTCTGCTCAGAGCCCTCCCAGGCCTCCCACCTCTCTGAGTCAAAGACACAATCATCACCAGCTTTGTCAAGGGCCTCCTTTGTCCTTTGCGTACTCCTGACCACAACCTCAGGGCAGACTAAGGGCACTCCCGACCCAGGGGCCTTAGCTACTGTGGCCCCCACTGGGGGCCCTTCCCTGTAATCTGCATGGCTTATTCCCTCTTCTGCAGGTCTCTGCTCAAATGTAACCTAATCAGAGAGGCCCTCCCCACCTATATTTTATTATGCATCCATCACACGTTGCCTGTGGGCAGGAGCTGTACCTACTGAGCACTCTGTTGGGTCTCCAGGCCCAGGAAGAGAGCCTGGCACTTTGGAGGCATCCAGCAGTCACTTGCTGGCTGCATTATTTAATGAAGTGTAGTGATGGAGGCAGGCTTCTCGCTTTGTCCCTTTTGCATTTCAAACCATGTGAAAGTAGCACCTGATCAAAACAGTACAAGTTTTTTTTTGAAGGAATGCGTGTGAAAAACAAGGACAGTACCTGACAGGTCTTTGTGTTTTGGGAGTGTCTATGGCACCGAGGAAGAGTACCTTCAGGGACCCATGGGCTGCACCTGGCTTAAAGGGGAGGTGGGCATGCATGGGGAAGGTTTCCTGCCTGGAAGGAGGCCCCAAATTCCGAACCACTCACGCGCCCATCCCTCCGTCTCCACATGCCTGCCTTCGCCTGCTCACCCACAATTTTTTTTTTAATAAATTTATTTATTTTTGGTAGCGTTCGGTCTTCGTAACCGTGCACGGGCTTTCTCTAGTTGCAGCCAGTGGGGGCTACTCTTCGTTGAGGTGCGCGGGCTTCTCACTGCGGTGGCTTCTCTTTGTTGAGGAGCATGGGCTCTAGGCGCACGGGCTTCAGTAGTTGTGGCACGCGGGCTCAGTAGTTGTGGCACACGGGCTTAGCTGCTCCGCGGCATGTGGGATCTTCCCCGACCAGGGCTCGATTCCCAACCACTGCACCACCAGGTAAGTCCCTCACCCACAATTTTAAATTAAATTTATTCATTTTTACCCTCCCGCTCTAGGAAGTCCCCCAAGCCCGCCCACGGGGAAGGCTCGAGACTACATTTCCCAGAAGGCCGCGGGGCCGCCGGAGGCCCCGATTGGCCCCCTCGCGCGCGTCCGTTCCCTTCCCCCCACGGGAACCAAGGGTATAGGCGCCTCGGCCCCTTCCCCCCGGAGCCCGGGCTCCCGCGCGCCCGACCGCTCTCACCTCCGGACCGCGACGTGGGCCGGCTTCCTCAAGTGGGCCGACTGAGCTGCGGCCCCTCCCCATCTCCGGCTTCAGGTGCCGCTTCCCGGCGGCGGCCGAAGCCAGCCTCCATCTTGTCGGCGGAGGCAGAGGTTGCCGGGCGACGGCCGGGATTGGAGGAGGCAGCGTGGGGCCCCGCCCCCGACGGCGCGTTAGGTGCTGCGTCCAGTCGCCCAGGGCCTACCGGGAAACGTAGTTCAACGACGAGGCCGCCGAGCACAGAGTCCAGGCGGGAGCGCCCAAGGCCGCCTCTGCCCAAGGCCGGATTTCTCGCCTATTGATTTCTCTCTCCTGTCTTTCCTGCCATCTACTTTCGGTCTCTTTCTTTTCTTTCTTTTTTTTCTTCTTTCATAAAGTTTTTAATAACCTATAATTTTCTTACATGTACACTAGTAGCCTTAAAAAGACAAATATTTACTACCAAATGTTAACTACTGTACAGTTTACAAAAATGTATAATTTTAAGAATTTGGAATAATAAAGGGAAGGTACCCACTTCAAATGGATTAAGTAAGAAAATTCCACTTTTTGAGAAACTTAACCAGGAAATGGGAACTTTCCAATTTCTCTAAAGGAACACCAAAACATTTTACTGAAGTCAGAGAACTTACTATTTTTGTTCAATACTTCATCTACGTAGTTTTAAATAAACCCTAAAAAATATTTTCCAGTATATGTAAGGCCTCTACACAGAGCGCACGACTCGGGAAGAAAGGACTCCGTCAGAATGAGAAGCCATGAAGAACAGAGATATGTCTTGTTCACCTTTACATCTCCAGTTCCTACCATAGTGCCTGGCTCAAGGTGAAAATGCTTAAGCAATGGTTGCCGCTTTACATTGAACCAGGCAGATACATCTTTGGTCCAGTTTTCATTTCATATTAAGCATGACCTGAGCTGCAGTCCCGGTTCTTGGCCCTTGACCTTAAATTGAGTAAGGTAAGCCAATATGCATACACTTTCTACATCAGCCTTCTGACAGGATCCTCAGAACTGAATTGTCACAGGTTGTGAATCTTCTCTTACGTGGTCTAATTCTTATTTCTTGAATAATATCAGTGTGCAAAAGTAATGCATTTTCGGGACTTCCCTGGTGGCGCAGTGGATAAGACTCCATGCTCCCAATGCAGGGGGCCTGTGTTCGATTCCTGGTCAGGGAACTAGACCCCACATGCATGCTGCAACTAAGAGCTCGCATGCCACAACTAAGGAGCCTGCCTGCCGCAACTAAGACCTGGTGAGACCAAACATTACTTTTTTTAAAAGTAATGCATTCTCACTGCAGTACAAGTATATTCATACGAGTAAGAATTGAATAAAGGCCTTACTCTTCCATGTTTTAAATAACAGATACATAGCATCTTATATTATGATGTAATTAGCAATTTTTAGACACTGAACATAATACACTGTATTACAATGCAATGTGGTAGGCTTCCATTTTAGGAACAAAAATCAATTTCACACGAAAAAAGAGTTATTTTAAATTCACATAAAATACATTCAGAATAAGTCTAAAATTTTAGCATTAAGTAATGTAAAACAAACACAGAGGAGCTTTCTTTATTATTACTACTTTTATTTTGGCTACGGCAGGTCTTAGTTTTGGCATAGGGGATCTAGTTCCCTGGGATAGAACCTGGACTCCCTGCATTGGGAGCACGGAGTCTTAACCACTGTACTACCAGGGAAGTCCTTCCATATGGGTCTGATTTTTTATGAGCTTTGGATTTTTCTTCATTTGGACCTGATGAATAACCTTGGGCATTTTTTTCTTTCTGTGTTTCCGATTCAGTTCCTTTATCACTATTTTTTTTCTTTAAACTTTACTTTTGGCTTTTGCATTTCTGTAGAGACCTCTCCTTCCCCACCCCCCTTTTTCTTTTATTTATTTATTTTTGGCTGCGTTGGGCCTTCGTTGCTGCGTACGGCTTTCTCTAGTTGCGGCGAGCGGGGTCTGCTCTTCATTGCTGTGCGCGGGCTTCTCATTGCGGTGGCTTCCCTTGTTGCGGAGCACGGGCTCTAGGCGCGCGGGTTTCAGTAGTTGTGGCACGCGGGCTCAGGAGTTGTGGTTCGCGGGCTCTAGAGTGCAGGCTCGGTAGTTGTGGCGCACGGGCTTGGTTGCTACGCGGCATGTGGGATCTTCCTGGACCAGGACTCGAACCCGTGTCCCCTGCATTGGCAGGCGGGCTCTTAGCCACCGCACCACCAGGGAAGTCCCGTTGTCCCCCCCGCTTTTTCTGCTTGGTGTTCCACATCAGAATCACAACGTGAACTTGATGATTTGGACTCTTCCTGGGTACCAAGTGACTTTTCATTGACTTTCCTAGAAAGCAAATCGCCAGAGTGTGGAATGAAATCATCAGGTTTTCCCCATCCGGATTCCCCTGTTTCTGAATTATAATAATAGGTATAACCATCTTCACTTAAACCTTCTACCCAAACAGTCTTCACTGCCGTCTTTTTAAAATTTCCTTGAAATCCTTCAGGTTTCTCCCACCGAGATTCTCCCGTGATAAGATCATAATGGTAATGGTAACCCTCAGAGGTTATGCCTTCTACCAATCTGCCCTTTGAAGGGTCTTTTTTTTTTTTTTTCTTTTGCTGATTTGATGCAGAGGCGGATGGGATAGTGCTGGTTACTGGTGATGTGCTTGGCTCTGAGGTTTCTGACTCTAAGCCAGGGCTTTCCAAATCCTCTTGGTATGCTTTCAGGGCAGCTGCCTCCATTGCAGCAAACTCCTTTGATGCCTTCTCTTCTTCCTTTGCCCTATCCAGCCTTTTCGGTTTAATCTCACTGATCCTCTTTGCCACATTTTCCTTATGATTCTTTCCTCTTTCATGAACTTCAACACTAGACCTATTGTCCGCAATCCAGCACCTGCAGTAATCAGAGAATTTCTCTGGTTGTGACCTCCAGTAGTCTGCCGTGACTGGACCAGCCGCCCCGAGGGTCATCCTCAGGCCCCGCTGAGGCTCGCTTTCCCCACGCGGGATGAGTCAGGGCCCAGCTCACTGCGAGGCCCACCGGAGCCTCCGCGCCTGGACCTGGTCTCTTTCTTTCCCACCATCCTCGCTACCTCCTTTCCTTTCCTGGGTCTGTCTCACTGTTTTCTCTTTCTCCCTGTCTGTCCCCCATTCCGGAGAAACGGTTCCCTTTAGACTGTCAAAATATAATTTTCGAAACAGCTAAAAACAAACTCGGTGAGCACACGTCAAATATCTATTTACCTCCGGTGGGAACTAGCAGGATGACATAGGTGGTTCCGGGAAGATGAGAGAGAAGGAACAACAGAAAGGGTGAAAGAACGAACAGTGAAATAAAAGCTCCAAGTCGGATCGGTAGTGCCCCATGGGGCAGGGGGCAGGCATCTTAGTGTCCTGCTTAGTGTCTTACTGGGTGACAAAAAACTTGGGGTACTCTTCTCTACTAGACAGAAAGCATTTACAACCTATCAACCTTTTACTCGTTAGCACCTAACTTCACAGTATCTGGACTCTGATCCAAAGCAGTTAACTTAAAAAAAAGTTGCTTCACTTAGGGAATCAGATGACCTGAAGCAGGCTTGGTAGAGACGGTGCTAGTTCTTCCAGTCATCTTTTTTTCTCTTAACGGCAAGTTTCGGATAAGTTTTCTTAACATGTGTCCCTCCCGCTGTGTCTTTCTCTCTTCTTGCTGTCACCCTTCTCTGAGTCTTTAAAAAACTCTCGCTCCACTTTACTGTATCTCTAATGTCTGTCCCTTTCTCCCCTCTTGCTTCTGTACTCCTGATCCTTGTCTGTCCCTTGAATCTCGAGCTGCACGTCTTGTCGCTGTAAATCTTTGTCTCTCCTTTCCTCTCCATCCCACCCTGATCGCTCTCCCTCTTGTTAACTGTTCTGACACACGTCTGCCCAGCCCTGACTCTCTGACCTAGGTCTCTTTCTGTCCTGCCCGTGTCTCTGTCCCTGTGTCTGTTCACTTACTTTCACTGTCTCTCCTCTCCCCGCCCCCGAGTCTGTGTCTGTCTGTCCTCTCTCGCTCCGCATCTCTACCCTCAGCCTACCTCTCCCATCCTCTTTCAGACGCCGGCCGGTACCCAGGGTTGCCCTGGAAACCGCCTGCACGGCCCACTGGTTACCATGAAGACGCCCGGGCCCGCCTACCGCCCACGAGCGCAAAAAAAAAAAAAAAAAAAAACAGTCATCGCGCCGCGCACGCGCGCGGAGGTCTGACTGGCCTCCTCCCGGACAGGAGCCGGCCGAGCCTCTCTCCAAGGCGAAAGTGGGAGAGGCTCGCTTGCGGTCCTGAGGGCGGTGGAAGGGGTGGCCGGGTCTCCACAGGGGGTTGCCATGGAGACAGGGGCTGACGGCGTCCTAGCGAGGGCCGTGATTGGTGCAGAGCCCTGCTAATCCCCGGAAGCCCCGTAGAGAATTCAGGGAGACTTGGTGGCGGCATGCGCGGTTGGGAAGGCGGTGCGGCCGCCCGTTGCCCCCTGAGAAGCTTGCTCGCGTCGGCGGGCGCCTGGACGCCTGGATTTGAGGCTGGGAGCGCGGGAAGACGCGGCCCGGAGTGTGACCCGATCGTTGCGAACAACGCTGCCCCGGGGCACAGCGGGAGGAGGGTGGAAACTGAGGCGAGGGTGGGGGACGGGCAAGGCGGCGCTCCGGCTGGTGCGTGGAGCATTCTGGGAGACATAGTCCGGCCGGGGAGGGAAGGTCGGCGAGTACGCATGCTCAGGAGCGCGGAGCGGCCCGCTGAGCGCGGAGGTGAGGGCGGGGGCCCCTCAACCGGGAAGGTTCGGGCGGGGACGGGGGCGGCGGCCCAGCGGGATCGGGAACGTAGGACAGGGGCCTGGGTGCCCCCCGTGGCCGGGCCCAGCGCTGTCGCGCGCGGCTCGTCAATCACTGCGCGTTGCCACGGCGACAGAATCTGGAGTCCCCGCCCCAGTTGCCATGGCGGCACCCGGACCTCCCGGCTCCCTAAAGTAGAAGGTGCCCGCCCAGGCTTCTGGTAAATGTAGTTCAGGGAGCTCCGCAGGGCCGGCCAGATTACGGAGGCCCAGCTGTTTCCTGGGGTTTCAGGTTGACTTGGAACCTTGAGGAGCGAAGGTTAGACCCACGGGATCAGGCGGCCCTCGAAATCGAATCCACTTCCTTAATAGACTCAGACCTCTCTACAAAGGTTGCACTGTACCTCCAGTTGCATAAGGAGCAGCGCGAGCGTGGTGGGGGTGGGGGAAACGGAGGTTCACAGTGGCACAGCGACATGCCGAGGTTACGTGGCAAATAGGCTGGGCAGAATCTCCGACTTTCCTTGCAGGCTCCGAGTCCAGTGGTCTCGGCTCCTTTGTAGCTCCCCTCTGAAAACTCCCCTGTTACCTTCTAGTCCCACCTAAATGTGGGGCATTGCGTGTTGTGATAAGTCGGGCTCAAGAGAACGGGGCTGAATGGGGGGAGAATGGTGTCTGGGTGCTGGGCCATACAGGTGACCTTGCACAGGTGTGGGTTGGGGCAGGTGCAGTCAGGCTGCGCTGTGAAACCGTGCTGGGAGGGGAGTGGTCTGAGAGACAAGGCGGGAGAGTGGACGCTGCAGTGATAGACTGGCGTTGGTGGGGGGAGGGGTGGTAGTGGTGTAGATGCCCAGGCAGTGGATGTTGTAGGTGGCATTCACCTGGTAGAGAGAGGGATGCAGAGCAGGGGTTAAGTGGTGAAGCGTGGGCTTTGGGGGAGAGACGAGGTGCCTTCTGGGCCTGAGAAGCAGCCCAGGAACAGGGGGCTGCCAGAGACTCCGCACAGGCCCAGCTAGAGAGGCTCACCGACAGCTCACTAGCCCCACAGGTCCTTGGTACGGGACTGCCTCTGTGCCTGTTTCCTCATCCTCCTTCCACTTGGCAGGTCTCGGGGATTCAACAGCACAGCATCCAGTAGGCTCTCAATAAGCATTCGTCACCACTGTCCTCATCGCAGCAGCCTCATCCCATTCCTCCCCGAGGGGGAGACACTGGCCTCAGAGCTCCAGCCTGGTCTTTCCAATGAGGCCCACAGCTCTGGGCTCCCCGGGCCACACACCCCCAGAAGATGAGGGGCCCATCACGGTGAAGCTGGAGGAGTCTGAGGAGGAGGGTGAAGCCGCCCCATGGGATCCTGGCCCAGAGGCTGCACGACAACGTTTCCGGCACTTCCACTATGAGGAGGCAGTGGGTCCCCGCGAGGCGCTGGCCCGGCTCCGTGAACTCTGCCGCCAATGGCTGAGGCCTGAGGTGCACTCCAAGGAGCAGATGCTGGAGCTGCTGGTGCTGGAGCAGTTCCTGGGCGCGCTGCCCCCCGAGATCCAGGCCCGCGTGCGGGGACAGCAGCCAGGCAGCCCTGAGGAGGCCGCTGCCCTGGTCGAGGGCCTGCGCCGGGAGCCAGGAGGGCCCCGGAGATGGGTGAGTCAGTGGCCCTGGGGTCGGGGCTGGAACAGTATGCATCTCTGCCTCTTCCTGGGAGGTGCCATGCTCAGCCAGACACTGGTGCATTGTGGTTTGGAAGTGGTCACCTGCAGCAGACCCTGTGTGAGGGCAGACGGGGGTCCAGGGCCAGCCTCAATGGCCCATCCTTCCATCACCTAGAGGCATGGACAAGGGATGCAGGGTGGGGAGAGAGGGTGGGTGTCAGCAGCAGGAGAGCAACTGCAGGTGGTCCCTTTGCTCCTTGCTCAGTCCCTGGTGGACATGGATCCTTAGAGGACCTAGTCACTCAGGACCCCTGGGGTCCCAAGATAGGGTGGATGCCCATGAACTCCCTACCTGAGCTCCTGATGGTGGGGGGCACCTCCCCAGGTCACAGTCCAGGTGCAAGGCCAGGAGGTGCTATCAGAGAAGATGGAGCCTTCCGACTTCCAGCCCCTCCCTCAAATCACACCTCGGACTCCAGAACCTGGACTTGAGATGCCCCGTGGGGCCACACAGGAGTCATCACTGGGCCTATGGGTGAAAGAGGAGCCTGGGGCTACAGAGGATCCAGGTGAGGGTAGGCAACGTGCCCATGCATTGGCGGTCCCCACCTCCCGCCCAGCCAGTGGCCGTCATTATCCCTCGCATGCCAAGCCTGACTGCCGCCACTGTGGTTCCTTCCATGTTCTCAGCTGGCATGGAGCTGGCTATTGGGGTTTCCTGGTGTGGGAGGCATGTGGGGTTCACTCCCTGAGGAGATCCATTGGGGGACATTAGCCGATTGCTCGAGAGCAGACAGAAGGCTGGAGTATGTGTGGGCACAGATGAGGGAGGACCCCAAAGTGCTGGAGAGCATTCCCTTCTCTCATACGCCTCCCAGGCAAGTGCCAGACATGCCCACCCACACTCTCTGCCATTCCTGTGTGGACACTTAGAGCCCTCCTGACATGCCCAGCCCCAAGTCTACACCCAGGTCTCACCCCACCTGGACCCCAGCACCTGGCACACCACTGAAGAGGGCAGCAGGGTGGGGAGCCCCTGGAGCTGCCTGACCCCACCCTTCCTCTCCAGAGCTTCTGGACTCTGGGCCTCTAACCAACCCCCAGGAGGCCACTTCCACTGTCCTACCTGAGGAGGCCCAGGTGAGCCCCTGCTCTGGGAGCCTCAGTGGGTGGGGGGTGGGTAGGTCCCTCCCTGGGCCTAGCCAGACACAGGCGAGCAGTGACCACTGTGTTTTCAGGGCTGTGGCGTGGCGCTGGACCAGGCCTCTCCCCATAGTGAGACTGGGCCTGAGGGGTCCTCATGGACGGAGCACCCGGAGGCCCTGTGGCAGGAGGAAGCTGGGAGCATCTTCTCCCCGGGTGAGTAACATGGGGCCCTCCACACGGGCAGCACCACCCCTGACCATCCCACTCCTGGCCCTGCTCAGGTGGGCCCCTTACTCCGGCATTCCCCGAGCTCCTCCATCGCCTGCAGCGTTCAACCTGCTTTAGCATCTCCTGCCCGCGAGAGCCAAGCCCCCCACTAACCTCATGGCCCCTCCAGCTGCTGCTCCCCGCCACCAGTAAAACCTCCTGAGGGCAGGACTTGTGCTCCCCACGTCCGCTCCCAGCCCCGGCACCCTGGATGGCCGCCGGGTTCTGGGCTTGCATCCCACTGATTGGGGGGCGGGGCAGAGAGGGACAGCAGGTTAGTAGACAGGGTGGGCAGACAGGGGGGACCTTGACACAGGGTGGGGCCTGGGCAAGACAGAGCGGTACCCTGCTCTCAGGCCAGATGCCCTGTGCTGTCCACCTCAGCCACACAGCCTACAACGGTCTGCCGTCGGCCAGGCTCCCTGTTCCCTGGACCCCTTTTCTATGTTGGTTTACTCCCTTGTTATTTATTTTTTTGGCTGTGTTGGGTCTTCGTTCCGGCGCGCGGGCTTTCTCTAGTTGCGGCGAGCGGGGGCTGCTCTTCGTTGCTGTGGGCGGGCTTCTCATTGCAGAGGCTTCTCTTGTTGCAGAGCACGGGCTCTCGGCACACGGGCTTCAGTAGTTGTGGCACGCGGGCTCAGTAGTTGTGGTTCGCGGGCTCTGGAGCGCAGGCTCAGTAGTTGTGGCGCATGGGCATCGTTGCTCCGCAGCATGTTCGTCTTCCCGGACCAGGGATCAAACCCGTGTCCCCTGAATTGGCAGGCGGATTCTTAACCACTGCGCCACCAGGGAAGTCCCACCCCCTGGTTCTGGTGAACCTTCCTGTGAACTCTGGTGTGGGAAGTAAAGTTCCGAGCTGTGGTCCATATCTGAAACACATTTGTATTTCACTGAATTTTGGCTGAAGAATTCTTTGTATTAACTCTGTCTCAAAACATTTTTTTTTAATTGCTGTGAAACTGGGTCAAAACGTTTTTTATCACCACTGTTGGTGAGCCCTTTCAATTTGAAATTCACATTTCTCAATTGTGGGAAACTGGCTTGCATTGTTTCTTTGATTTCCTTCCCCTCCATTGTTCTGTTCTCTTGTTTCTGGAATGCCTGTTACTTGGTTATTGGACTCTAGGACAGATCCTCCAATGTTCTCTTCACTGCGATTTCCCCATCCCTTTCTTTCTGCTCTATTTTCTGGAAAATTTCTTCAGTTATAGCCTCCAGACCCTCCTTTGAGATTTGCATATCTGCTAGCAGCGTTTTAATTTCCAGGAGTGTCTTCTTTCCCTGAACATTCATTTTTTTTAACCACTTTCTGTTATTCTTACAGTTGTAGCATCTTTCCTTATTTCTCTGAGGATAACAATAACTTGTTTTTTAAGCTTTCTTCTCCCAGTGTGGTCTCTGGTCCCTCTGGCAGCTCTGAGCAGACGGGTGAGAGTCTTATCGGCCAGGACAACAAATCAGGGCTGGGAGGGGAGGGTGAGGGGTTCACTCCCCAAGGAGACTCACTTCTTGGGAAACGTGAGTGGGTGGGTGGAGCATGAGTGGATGCCACTGGAGCAGTCGTAGGGCAGTCTGGGTGGGCTGCTTGAAGGCACCCCTGCTGTGAGGATCTTCAGTTCTCTCCTCTGAGTGTTCTAAGAAGGCACTCCTAGCCTCTTGCCAGCATCCCGGGAGAGAGGCTAGCGTCGCAGCGCCCAGTGTGACTTCCCTTAACTCCCTTGACTCCCTCAGGGTCCTCTCCCGCCCTCAACCCAGCCCTTTGCCAGGAAGCGAGAGGAGGTCGAGAGGTCACAGCTACAGCACTGCCCACCGCTTCCTCAGAATTCTGTGCAGACAGACCCAGGGCTGTTCCCGGCAGTAGCCCTGCCCAGCTTCAGCTTCAGCTTCTGAAACAGCTTCCCCAGCCCTCCTGCTGCCCCTGCCCCTTCCCCTGCGCGGCCAGCGGTACCTGGTACCTCCAGCTCCTGAACTTTTCAACGTCTGGGGTAAAACGGGCTGGTTTCTTTCAGTCTTCCCCACTGCCGACTTACTACTCGCCTTCCCCAGTCTGCCGCACAGTGACCGTTTGCCCATTTCGCTTTCCAGAGTAGAAAATATCAGGGATCTGTTTGTTTCCTCTCTTCTTCTCTTCATCCCTGTGGGTTTTATGCCTTGAAAAAACAAAACAAAACCTTTATGGTGGTTTTTAATGTTGTTTCACAATGAAGCAAATTTAAATAGACACCGTTATTACCCAGAAGTCCCCATTTGCTGTTTTTTATCAATAAGGATCCAAACTCATTCTTTTTTCATAACGTCCTTGTTTTGTGGATACTGATCCATCCTTTGAGAATTTGCAAGTACCTTATGTTATTTCCGGCCTTGTTAGTTAGCTTGGTTTCCTTGGGTGTGAATGCTCCCACTGGGTGCACTGTTGACAGCCTGCCCTGCACAGCTCTGGGGGCTTCTTATTTGTCCCTGCCCTAAGCATCATCCTGGTTGAGGGGCTGCCACAGGGTCCATCATAACTCAACTGGAAGGCTCATCTGGGCCCCTAGCCATTCAATGGAGAGACCCCTGCAGCCTCACTGAAAGCAAAAGGTCCACGGATGGGCTGGGCTCACCCAGGCTATGTCCTCAACCCCCAACGCCATGACAGAGCCTGGCTCTCCTCCTCAGTCTCCACAGCCCTGGCACTCTAGAGCACCGTGCACCAGGCTCTGGAGTCCTGAACCTCACCGTCCTTTCTTGCTTTGGAGCTGCCCCGCGTATTTTGAAAGCTCTTTTCTTATGTTCTGTCAGTTGTGCATGTTGAAGCTGAGAGGGTAGCATCTGATACATGCCCCTTCTGCTGTTTCAGTCTTCAGCTGGCTGGCCAGGCTTGGCTCATGCTGTGTAGCTGACACTCCAGCCTGGACCTGCTTCTCTCAGCCCACAGCCCCACAGTCTCTCTGCTCTCTCCAGCCACACGGGCAGTTCCACCCCAGGCTCCTCGGCGGGTTCTTTCTCTGCGGTCCCATTCTTTCCTCAGGCTGCATTCTTCCCCAGACAACCACAGCTCACCTCAGCCACCTTGGTCTCCCCATAAGGTCTCCTGGCTGCTCCCGTTGCCCTCAACCGAACATCTTCTGTGCAGCCAGTGCTTTTATCAGGAGAACAGTTTGAATTGCTAGGACATTCACGTGTTAGAAAATTCAGAAAGCACAAAGGAGTATACAGTGGAATACTCCTGCCTGTTTCACATGGTCCTGCACCCCAACAGCCAACATCACTGTTTTTTTGTGTGTACTTCCAGAAAGACTCTCTGCATAGAAGAACAAACACAAATTCAGGTGCGTACTCATTTTCCGTTTTTAAAACACACGTGGATGCTTAATCTTCACACTGTTCCACGTCTGACATTTTTCGTGCATCTTCCCACTTGAACATACAGCAGCGAGCGCCCTCCTCTTTGGACGGCTGCATACAGCCCACTGGGGCTCACCGTGGACACACCTGTTTACCCATCCAGGCCCCTACTGACATTCCTCTGGGTTACTTTTCAGTGAGAACTGAGAAACCTCCTACAGCGATCATTTCACACAGGGGGAGCACAACTGGTGGAGAAGCACCTAGACGTGCAGCTGTTGGATCAGAGGGTGGGAAACTGGACGTTTTGATGTGCTTTGCCACGCTGGCTTCTGTTTATGCTGGCAAGCGGTGCACACGAATGCTTGGGTTCCTGGAGTTAGGGTGCGGAAACGGTAACGAGCACGGCCCTAATACGCGCTTTGCTTACTAGGAGGGGACTGAGCACATTTTACGGAATTTAAGCATCAGTGACATTTCCTTTCCTTTTCCTGCCCTTTCCCCACGTTTGTCAGCTTGTCCGTCTTTCTTGTTGATTGACTGGTGCACCTTACTTTGGTTAATTAGTCCCTTGCCTCTGGAGAGTTCTCAGTTTGTCATTCATCTTTTGACTCGGAGGGTTTTTGCTGTGCACAGATGATCTCCTCTGACACAGTATAATTTTTCTGAGTTGCCTTTGGCTTCTGATAGGTCTTCTGTCGCCTGCTGAAGCCCTTGCTAGTCTCCCGGTCTCCTTGCTTTAACTTCCTTCTTCTCCGTTACCTGTGCTCACATCGCCTCCCTTCCCCAGCATCTACTGATGGAGCGCTCACAGCGTGGCTGGAAGCTGCTCCTGTTATCCGCAAACACCCACCCCTGTCTGATCACATGCAGGCCCAGGACTCCATAGGCCATGTACACACCACAGCACCCGTGTTCACCTTTCCCGGCAGACTGGGCCCGACTCCTGTGCCCCACAGCCTGCGTGTGGCCTCTGTCCCTCGGGAGTCCTGTGGGCATCTCAAGGAAGGCACGGCAGACAAAAGTCCTGGTTGCCTGCATTCCCTGCCCCTATCCCCTGCCCTATTCCCTTCCTGTTGGCTCCACTTCCAGCCTCCCTCAGACCCGCCCACAGCTCTGCATTTGTGGAAACCATCATCACCCACCCGGACAGTGCAAGGGCCACCTGCCCCACCTTTGCCCTACAGCCCTTCCTGAAAGGCGGTTTTTACAAACTTAAGTCACACCTGGAAAGCTTGTCCCCAGCTTTTCAGTCTTCCACCTCCTGCAAAGGTCTGTCCCATTGTCACCTCCTTAGGGAAGCCTACACAGATACTGCCCCTGCCCCTGCCCACGTCACTTCTGTCTGCCTCCTTGGTCAGTTTCAGGTCGCTCTAGTTCGCACCGTTTCTGCAGGGCTGGAGTGGCTCTGGGCACAAGTGGGTTCTCTGTCATGAATGAGTGGATCCCCTTCTGCAATGCAGGGTTTACACTCCAGATGGACAGCATCTCTGCTGGCCCAGACACTGTGAGCCCCAACGTCCACCTCCCCTGGGACCTCGGCGTGGCCAGCCTCACGGGCCGACTCGAGTCACCCTCCCTCGAAGGTGGCTTCTCACATGCGCTGGTGCTCTCCAGCGACCCGGGAGGTGAGCAGGACCCCACGTACGATCCCCGCCAGGGCGTGGGCCCCGGGCTGGCCGCCGCTCGCTGGCGTGCCCCCAGGGGCCGGAGCCGGGGTCGAGGTCGCCCCAGCACAGGCGCCGGAGCCGTGCGAGGTGGCCGCTGCGACGTGTGCGGGAAGGTGTTCAGCCAACGCAGCAACCTGCTGAGGCACCAGAAGATACACACGGGAGAGCGGCCGTTCGTGTGCAGCGAATGCGGCCGCAGCTTCAGCCGCAGCTCGCACCTGCTGCGCCATCAGCTCACGCACACCGAGGAGCGGCCGTTCGTGTGCGGCGACTGCGGCCAAGGCTTCGTACGCAGCGCGCGACTGGAGGAGCACCGGCGCGTGCACACGGGCGAGCAGCCCTTCCGCTGCGCCGAGTGCGGCCAGAGCTTCCGGCAGCGCTCCAACCTGCTGCAGCACCAGCGTATCCACGGCGACCCCCCGGGCCCCGGCGCGGCACCCCCCGCGCCTCCTGGCGCGCCGGAGCCCCCAGGCCCCTTCCCGTGCAGCGAGTGCCGCGAGAGCTTCGCACGGCGCGCCGTGCTGCTGGAGCACCAGGCGGTGCACACAGGCGACAAGTCTTTCGGCTGCGTGGAGTGCGGCGAGCGCTTCGGCCGCCGTTCGGTGTTGCTGCAGCACCGGCGCGTGCACAGCGGCGAGCGGCCGTTCGCCTGCGCTGAGTGCGGCCAGAGCTTCCGGCAGCGCTCCAACCTCACGCAGCACCGGCGCATCCACACGGGCGAGCGGCCCTTCGCCTGCGCGGAGTGCGGCAAGGCCTTCCGCCAGCGGCCCACGCTCACGCAGCACCTGCGCGTGCACACGGGGGAAAAGCCCTTCGCCTGCCCTGAGTGCGGCCAGCGCTTCAGCCAGCGTCTGAAGCTCACTCGCCATCAGCGGACGCACACCGGCGAGAAGCCCTACCACTGCAGCGAGTGTGGCCTGGGCTTCACGCAAGTCTCGCGGCTCACCGAGCACCAGCGCATCCACACAGGCGAGCGGCCCTTCGCCTGCCCGGAGTGCGGCCAGAGCTTCCGGCAGCACGCCAACCTCACGCAGCACCGGCGCATCCACACGGGCGAGCGGCCGTACGCATGCCCCGAGTGCGGCAAAGCCTTCCGCCAGCGGCCCACGCTCACGCAGCATCTGCGCACCCACCGGCGCGAGAAGCCCTTTGCCTGCCAGGACTGTGGCCGCTGCTTCCACCAGAGCACCAAGCTCATCCAGCATCAGCGCGTCCACAGTGCAGAGTAGCCAGTGCGCGCTGCACCCCCTCTCCGCCCTCACCTCGTTCCTCCGTGCGGGGGGGGGGGGGGCGGGGGGAGGGGGGGGGGGGGGGGGGGCGGGGGGCGCTGCAGAACACCTACCTCGCGGGGATGCTGTGAGGCCTGTGATCACGTGGGTACAAGCCAGCCCTCTTAGGGCCCGGTGCCCAGTAGGTGCTCAATAAACAGTACACGGAACCTGCGTCTGGGTCTGCACCAATTCAGTTCCTCCCCACTTGCCTGGGTCCCTCTCTGCCCACCCCACGGGTCCACCACTTTCTTTGCAACCGCATGATTCCTGTAAGCGCCAGAGCCCCCTGCAGACGTGGCCCCTAGCAGAGCCTGGCCGCATCTGTGCGGTGCCCTCCTTGCACCACGGCTCCTGTACCATTTGCCCATGCGCCCTTCGACGCACACATCTGCCGGCCAAGCCAACTGCCAGATGAGGACGTGGACTGGCAGCCAGTATCATCAGGTGCTGAAGCATCAGACTGGTGTCCAGCATGCCAGAGCCGGCCTGAGGATATGTGTTTATGAAACTTTAAACCTAGGGAGCCATTTCCTAGGTGTAAAAGCTTCAAGGCTTTACCTGGGAATCCATATTCTTTCGAGGCTTTCCTCTGTTCCCCGCAGACTCCAGCCAGTCGGAGGCCCGCAGGTGGCTGCAAGCCCCGGGCCAGTTCCCCAGCCCTCTGGTGATCGTTCCCATCATGCGCCGTTCTCCTCCCTCCCTGGCCCCACGCACAGCCCCTAAGGGCTCCCGCACAGTGGGAGGTATCTATCGTGTGTTCGTTCAGTAACTAGTTACAGGAAGCTCAGCTGGCAGCAGCTTTCGCGAAGATGGACAGATACTGCCAGTTCCAGTTCAGTGTCCTGCAGACTTGAGGGCCGGTGTCTCTGGAACCCTCCAACCTCTTCCTGTGCCACTGCTTCTTTTGCCCTATCTTCCCCTTCCATCCTATTGTTCAGGCCTTGACACAGTCCCCCATTCCACCCATGGGTGCTGTAAGTGCCAGAGACAACGGAGAAAGGCAGTTCCAAAGAGGGCATCTTCATGCAGCAGGGTCTGGCTTGGGACTTAAACCCCACTCTAGGAGGGTGCCAGCCTGCCCTTGGCCTAGAGGGTTCCAGAACAGCCCTTCTAGGCCTGTATGTCCAAGCTTCTTCCAGAAGTGCAGCTGGACTTGCCCCTGCCACTTTGAGTGACCCTGATCCCCTCAAGACTTGGGCCCTGGTATCAGGGAAAGACAAGCCAGCCCGAGCCAGAGGCTTCCTACAGACATGCTAGAGAAGGCATGCTCCCTGCCTCAGCCCCACTTCCTCCCCTCCCCTATTCCTCTCTTTTCCCCACCTCCCCGCTAGTCTAGCCCTAGCCAAGACCAGAGCCACTCTGGCATCGCCTACGTCTGGCAAAGTCAGCAGCCCCCCTATGCAGGGGCACTCCTCTGTGGCACAGTCAGGGGTGGGGCGTCCCCGGACCCTCTGACAGCACTCACGGTTCTCTCTGATCACAAAGGGGATTCTAGGAAACCTGGTCTAGAATCTGTAGAATCAGAGGGGAGAGGAAGGCAGGGAGGGGCTGGGAGAATCAGATCAGGGAAGGCACATGAATGAACACTGAGGTAGCCAGTGGTCTCAGGTTGGAGGAATGTTGCCGGAACTTTATAAATCCTGTAACATGGCTTATTAGTAGTAGTAGTAGTTTACAATTTGTATGACTTTTATAATCTGAAACAAAGAAAACAAGAAAGCTCTCATCTTTGATCATCCTCGTGTTAATCATGAAGGGAAATCTGTGCAGACACAACTACATAAAAACATGAAACTCCACACAGGAAAAATTACAGCAAACATGAAAAGCATGGAGACATCCGGCCAGGGCCCCACACCCGAAGCCTTGAGAAGTCCATGGACCCACCTGCCAAAACAGCCCTCTGAGAGGAAGTCAACATGAACAGCTACGTGAGGGCCACCCATGAAAGGTCATTTCTGCAGCTGGCCAGGCACACCTCTGCAATCCAGTCATGTGGCTGCGGGTCGAGAACCCAAGTGCTACCAGACTATCATCAAGGGCTGAGGGCTTGGACAGAATGACCACTTTGCCCCACTTGGCCAGAGCCATATGAGGGACCCAGGAGAGGAATACCTAAGTACCGGTCATCTAAGAAAGCTACAACAGTGCCCAGCCAGCCTGTCCCTGGACTGTCTGTACCTGAGCCCATATTGTTCACTCCCAAGCCCAGCCTCCCCATGCCACGTCCATCCAATTATTCTCACCGGAAGCCCAGCCTCCCGAATCTATCCACTTCTTTCCACCCCCCAGCACTGTTCTGATCCCAGCCGTCCATCTCCAGCCTGGAGGCCCACGGCACTCAGCCTCTCTTCCCTGTCTACTCCTGCTCCCTTGTTCCCCAAACAGACCCTTTCCTCCCAGTGTCGGCTCCCAGAGGCTACGCTAACAACCCTACGTGCACTTCCACCCTCACAACTCACCCGCCACGTTCTGCCCAGTCCCTCCAAGGCACTGGCCCCAGCCTCCCTCAGGACCTCTGCATGCGCTAAGCCCTAGGTTGCATCCTAAGAGGCTGCAGGCCCAAGAGCCACAGGCACCTTTGCCACCAAAACCACCTGTGCCTCTCTGCCACTTGAGTGGCCACGAAGGTGACAAGGAATATACAGCTTAGCTGCACCACTTCCAACCCAGCCCCCTGGGTTGAGGGGATGAGGAGGATGAGGCCATCCCCTCCTCCCTGGTCCAGAAACCATGGCCCCCTTTGCCTAGCATTCTGTTGCACGGTCAAGTCTTCCCCCACTGGACGGTGGGGAAGCCACAAGATCAGAGATCACGGGAGTCGAGCTTTGGCTAGTCCTCTCCAGGGAACCAATTCCCCATCCCCAGATGGGACCTTAGCGGAAGGGCCTCAGCAACTGGCCTGGGGATAGGCACATGAACCAGGCTGGCCAATAGAAACCACCCCTGAGACTTTGGCTGGAAACCACAGTATGGTCATCAACCCTCAGGTCCTGTACAAAAATAGATAATCAGCAAGAGCAGAGCGGATGAGAAGAACGGAGAGGGAGAGGGAAATTGAGTCTGGAAGAGCCCTCTGGGTCCCCGGAACAGCCATGTCTGAAGCCTGAGAACCCTGGGATGGTTGCAATCTTGTCAGCCCCAAACCTGAGCCGTTTGCAGCTTCTGATCTCCCATCCTCACCCCGGCGCCTCTCCAGCACTCAGCTCTCAAGGGAGTCAACGAAGCTGGGAGTGTGAGGCTAGGACAACTACAGGGCTGAAGAGGGGCGTGTGGGATGGTGGAAAGAGAATGGAATGGGTCAAAAGGGGGAGCGGCTGCACAGACACCACTGGGCTCAGTCCACGGAGCCCAAAGACGCCGAGGGTACCCGGGCAGGGCCTCTGAAGAGGCTGGGGCCGGGATGGACGCCAAATCAAGACCCGAAGGGGTAGAGCCGACTCCCTGGGGTGAGGATGGGGCCGGGGTCGTTCGCCCAGAGGAGCCCATGGACTGAGCCTGCCCCCACCCCCACCCCAGCGCGGGCCCAACGGGGCCGCCGGGACTACTTCTGCCTTGGTGGTCCGTACGATGGCGGCACGTCGCCTCAGCGACTGGATGGGACGCGGGCAGGCTGAGAGACAGAGGCCCCGCCGCCCCACGGGCCCAGCCCCCCGCCCCAACCAGCCCTCGCGGCACCGCTCACCGCCTGACGGTTCCCTTGGTGACAGCCTGAAATCGCAGAACCGCTCCGCGCCGCTTCCTCCCGCCCCCCCGAGGCACGCTGAGCCGCGATTGGAGGGGAGGTTGGCCCCGCCCACATCTCACGCGCAGCCGACGGAAGGTCGTAGGGCGCCTCCGCTGGAACTGTAGAGCCGCGCAGAGCGCGGCCCTCCCCAGGTTCCGCTTCCGAAGTGTGTCAGCCTGTGTAAACCTCCACAGTGCTTACTACTCTCTGACACAATACACGTTTTATTTGTTAGTTTACCTCAACCAGACTCTGCGAGAGGGTTCTTTGGGTTTGCGATGGGACACCGAAAGTGCTGGACCACGCACCCTCTAGGCAACGCCCCTGACTTGCTCAGGCTCTGACCTGACCCAGCCTCAGTCTGTGACCCCCGGGGCCAAGTACTTCGTTTGGCCCGCCTACGCCGCCGTCTGCACAGGTGCAAGTAGGACTGGCTGGACCGCAATCGAAGCTGCCCGCATCTGCCCCACTTAAAGATGGCGGCAACACCGCCCCCCCGCCCCTCCCCGGACCCGCGGGCGTCCCCGGAAGTGACCCGCCCGGCCCGGCCTGCGCGAACGGAAATACCCGAGCCTAGCCGAAGGAGCCCGATCCCCAAGTCCCATCGCGGAGCAACGCGGGGCGGTGGCGTCGGCGGCTGCGCAGGCGCACAGCGCAGGCCGGGCAGAAAGAGCCGAAGCGGGCAGGCGGCGGAAATACCCGAAGCGGTGGGGCGCCCGAGGCCGTTGCGGACCTCCGCGCCGAAGCCGTTGCTGCCGCGGAAGCCGACCCTCCTCCAGTACACGGCCGTCGCCACCGCAGCCCCCGCCTCCCTCTTCCGACCCGAGCCGCAACCCCCTCGGGAAGGGAGCGAGTGAACTGGCCAGTGGCGCGGCCTGAGGACCCCGCGTCCGTAGCCGCAGCTGGGCCTGAGGACGCCGGGGCGGGCGAGGGGGAGGAGGGAGTGGCGGGTGGGGGCGGGGCCGAGCGGACACGAGAACAGCCGAGTGGGCCCGAGTGCTGCCGAGCGAGCCCGAGGCGCCGGGCCAGGCCGGAGCCGACTACGGGAGCCGACGCGGGCCGCGCGGTGGGCGCGGAGCGGCGCGGCAGGCCGGGCGGGCGGCGGCAGCAGCCGAAGAGGCCGCGGCGGCGGGTCCGAGTGGCGGAGGCGGCAAGGGCGGCGGCGGCGGGGGGCCGGGTGGCCGGGGTCCCGGGCCCCGCAGGGGCGGCAGCGGCGGCGGCGGCAGGATGATCAAGCTGTTCTCGCTGAAGCAGCAGAAGAAGGAGGAGGAGTCGGCGGGCGGCACCAAGGGCAGCAGCAAGAAGGCGTCGGCGGCGCAGCTGCGGATCCAGAAGGGTAAGGAGTTGGGATGGGGGTGGAGGTCGGAGGTCAGTGCCTGGCCTGGGGTAATGCGGTCGCCAGGGGTCAGAGGTGTCAGAAATGGGGGGGCCGCGGATGTGGGGATCGGAGATCAGGGCCTGGGGATTGAGGGATCAGGGGTGGAGTAATAGTCACTGAAGTGGTCAGAGATGCGGGGCCGAGGATGGGGCACTGAAGGTATTTGGAAAGCCAGATGTCTGATATTAGGGACTGAGAATCTGAGGGTGGCAGTGTAGTGGGGGGACCGGGAACTCGAGAGTCTGGGGGGGTCAGACGGGAACCTGGGTGAAAGGCAGAGGAGATATGGATAGTGGGGGCCGAGGATTGAGGATCCGAGTGGGAGATTTAGTGTCTTATGCTGGGGTCAGTGGGAGTCAGAGTCAGGCGTGGTGAGTACGTCTGGGGCCTGGGTGTCGTGGGTCTGGGGGAGGGGCGTCACATGGCAATTTGGGGTTTAGGGTGACAGGAGGAGGAGGGAGGGACAGTGGGTGCCAGAGATTAGAGATAGGAGTAGAGTTGGGTTTAGGCCATGGTGCTGGAGATGCTGGAAATCTTATAGTCAGAACAGTGTAAGGTAGGAGGGCTGGGAACTAACAGATCTGGGGGTCAGATGGGAACCTGGGTTTGGGATGATAGGCAGAAAGAGGACTATATGGATCGTGGGGACCAGGGATTGGTCAGGGGATGATTTAGGGTGTGGAGGGGGAATAAGGTCTTTGAGTTTGGGCAGATAATTGGGGACTCCTCTAGAAGGTGGGGGTTATGGCCAGGGATCCTGGGTGTGGGGTAGTCAGAGGCTCTTGGAGGGCACATGGGAGTGGGGGCATTTAGGAGCTGGGTTGCGGGGGGACCCAGCTGTTGGGTGCTGGGACTTAGGGCTGTGGATTCAGAAGAGTTGGAACTTACCCAGGGCCAGGAGCTCAAGCACAGTCACAACTGAACATGTGTGTTTGTGGTGTTCTGTAGATCCAGAAGAGCCTGCCTGGAGACTGGGGAGCAGACAGAGCAGGGAGAGGGTTGGGGATGTGTCCCACTGCCCAGGACAGAGCTGGGGTCCTGGAGGAGGCTATGGAGGCTCTGCTGGCACCTGCACCTGCTCTGAACACCCTCCTCTCTCTCCCTCTTCCTTTCTCTCTGTTTCCCTTTTCTGCTGTGAAAACCTAGACATAAACGAGCTGAATCTGCCCAAGACGTGCGACATCAGCTTCTCAGATCCAGACGACCTCCTCAACTTCAAGCTGGTTATCTGTCCTGATGAGGTGAGGGCACACTCAGCTGGACTCCCAGGCACGGCGGGTGGCCCCACCTCAAGTAGGGATATCTGGTTCACCTGCCAGGCCTTGCTGGATGGGATCCCAACTCCTCTTTTCTTCCTTCACAGGGCTTCTACAAGAGCGGGAAGTTTGTGTTCAGTTTTAAGGTGAGTCTCGGTGGGCCAGGGTGGCTCCCTGGGCTGAGGAAGCAACAGCTGAGGCCCCAGCCAGGCACTGCTGGGGCACCTATCCACCTCCCCTCTCTTTTCCTGGAGCCAGGTGGGCCAGGGTTACCCGCATGACCCCCCCAAGGTGAAGTGTGAAACGATGGTTTATCACCCCAACATTGACCTCGAGGGCAACGTCTGCCTCAACATTCTCAGGTGAGGGCACTAGCCCTCCATAGCTCTCCCCAGCCCTGCCTGCCAGGCACCCTTCATGGCCTTGCACTACACCAGTCTCTGTCTGTTCCTTACCCCTTGTGGTGTGTGTTCCTCTGTCTCTTCATCTCCACGTTTTGTTCCTCGTGGCTTGACCTTGGCTTTCTCCGTGGTCTGTCCTTCTCTGCACCCTCCCGCTAGCTTCTCCCATCCGCACTGTCCCGTGCCCTGGGCCTGACCTGTCCGGTCCAGCAGGGCCTCTGGCGGCTGCCCACTCACCAGCCCCTGATCATGATGTTCTCTGCCCACAGAGAGGACTGGAAGCCAGTCCTTACGATAAACTCCATAATTTATGGCCTGCAGTATCTCTTCTTGGTGAGTAGGGGCGGGGGCGCTGGGGCTGGGGGAGGTTGGCCTTCTGCCCCTTGGGCTTGTTGACCTCCACCCATACCGGCCACAGGAGCCCAACCCTGAAGACCCACTGAACAAGGAAGCCGCCGAGGTCCTGCAGAACAACCGGAGGCTGTTTGAGCAGAACGTGCAGCGCTCCATGCGGGGTGGCTATATCGGCTCCACCTACTTCGAGCGCTGCCTGAAATAGGGTCAGCGCATACCCACCCCTGCCAGGGCCACCAGCCCCGGCGTCCCCTGCAAATATTTATTGGGGGCCACCGGGACTTTTCTCCATTGTACATTCTTGACTCCTTTGTTGTAGATTAATTACCCATATAAGTGTGGGTTCATTTCTGGGCTCTCTGTTCTGTTCCATTGATCTATGTGTCTGTTTTTGTGCCAGTACAAAACTGTTTTGATTACTGTAGACTTGTAGTATACTTTGAAGTTAAAAAACTTGATATTGTTAATCACCATTCTCATAGTTGTAACTAGAATAGAGGTTGAAGGGAGATAGTGGCACCGTTGATGTGGGCAGATGGATTAGTATTCTATTTAACTAAACCTGGAGTGAAATGCTGAGAGTGTGGACTTAAACAATGGCAGTGGAGATTGAGGGAAAAGATGATTTTGAGACAAATGAAGGAGGTAGAATTTGTAGGATGGCGACTAACTGGATGTGGAAGAGCAAGTAAAGGGAGAGTGTTTAGATGTCGATGAGGTTTATGGCTGGGGGCCCCCGGGGGGGGGGGGGGGGCATGGGGCAGCCGGTGGGGGAATCCCATGCCCTGACCTGCCACCCCTCCCTGCCACCCGCTCCTAGTTTTTTTTTTTTTTAAACCACCATGTGATTGAGGTCGGCGCTGCCTCCCCCGACCCGCTCAGCGATGGGAAATGAATTGGCTTGTCTAGCCCCACGCTGGGTGCTGTCCAGCCCCCCTAATCTGGGCTCTGGGGTGGGAGGCCAAGGGCGGCTGGGCACCCGGCACCCCACCCCTGCACCACTGGAGGTCCTTCCAGGCTATTAAAGGGGAATGTTACTGCATGGCCTCTGCCTCTTCCTTTTGTGGGGTGGGAGGGGCAGGTGATGTCCACCAGGGCTCCTGCAGCAAGCGTGGTGCGAGTTGTGTGCTCACAGGTGGCATTAGGGGGGACCCCCCCGCCCCCGCGTCAGCAGGCTGCGCAGTGCCTGGGGCAGCCCTGGGAGTCGTGAGGGGACCAAGCCCCAGGCCTCGGGCAGGGTGGGATGAATCCCACTCCGGAACAAAGGAGGGGCAGGATCCAGTAACCACAGGCTTCCTGGCCAGTAAGCCAACATACAAGAAAGCCCGCACCATCTCCTGTTCTGCGCCCTTCTGCCATGGGAGGGCCTGACGAGGAGAATGCTGCCTGGTGCCACCGGGTGCCTGAGGTGCGGAAACATCAGCGAGAGTTCTGGGTCCCTGAGATGAGCTGGGCCCTACAGTGGGTGACGTGGTGGGGTGCAGGGCCTCCGGGTGGCTGCGCGCAAGGGCGCCAACCCCGCGGGGACCAGGACTCCGGCCGTGCCTCGGCTCCCTTAGGCGGGACTTGAACCTGTGGAACACCGAGTCCGCGGCAGGGCCACGGAAGCTGGTGCGCATGCGCCTGGGGCCGGCCTGGTCCCTGGCGCGTGCGCACGCGCGCTCTTGTCCCCGCCCAGCATTCCGGGAGCCGGCGGGGCGTGTGACGTCAGGTGGTTTAATCCGGAAACGGCGGTGACTGCCGCCGCGACAGAACCGAGGGTCTGTGGTTGGTGGGCGCTCCGGGGCTCCCAGCGAGAGGAGCGTGACCCGGAAACGGAAGCGAGTCCCTGTCGCAACTCCGGTGAGTGGCCCCTACAGGGGCGCGGGCCCTGGGTGGACTCGTGGGCGGCGGCGTACGAGGGCCTCGCCCCTGCCTGGGACCCGGCCTTATCATCAGAGGACCCCATGCTGTCTTGCCTTCAGTGGTCAACACCCCGCATGGCCCCCCAGGCTTTCCTGCGTGAACAAGGCACCCCAACACTTAGCATCCCTCCCTCTGTACAGGAGTCCGCAACGCCCCCCAACCTTATTCTCCGCGCCCAGATTCCCTCAGCATTTAGGACCCCCGCCCCAAACCGAATTCCATGCATACGCTGTCAGCTTCAGGGCCGCCCCCATCCACCCTGTTTCTAGCACTCGCAGCCTCCACCCCCTCCTGTCAGGGACCCTCTCAAGTGCCCTGTCCTTGGCGCTCAGGGTTCCAAGTGCCCCCTATCCCCGTCCGCCCACACACGGCCATCTCCAGTCTCAGTCCACCGGACACGCTAGGGCCTCATCGCAGGGTCTGCAGGACGAGGTGGAAGCCTTGAACCTCTGTGGGGGCACTGTGATGGAGGAAGGGTTGGGGTGGGCACGTTGTCCCCACTCACGTCCCTGGGGCTACCCAGGTTCCAGACTCCACTCTTTTGGCCTTCCATTCACGCCTTTTCTCCCTGCTCAGCCCTTTCCACTTTGGGAGCCCCCATCTGTCCCTGCCCATACACAGTGTGACCCCAGCTCTGCCTCATGCCCTCGTTTTGGGCCTCACACCACTCCGCAGTAAGGCTTCACACTTGCCCCAGTCCTACCGGTGGGCTCCTGCGGCCATGGACCTGCTGTTTGGGCGCCGGAAGACGCCGGAGGAGCTGCTGCGGCAGAACCAGCGCGCCCTGAACCGCGCCATGCGAGAGCTGGACCGTGAGCGACAGAAGCTAGAGACCCAGGAGAAGAAAATCATTGCAGACATCAAGAAAATGGCCAAGCAGGGCCAGATGGTAAGCTCGATTGGGCACAGCCTGGGACACAGGCCAGTGCTGTTGCTTGATCAGACACTGGGGCTGCAGCAAACTGGACATGCTGAGCACCAACAGGGAGGCGCTTCTAGGGAAATGAAGGGTTGAGTGGGTCTTT